CCTCAAGCTCCCAGGCCTCTGGTAGAGGACCCGAGCTCAGAGGATGAAAGAGACCACCCGCGGAGGGTGAGAAGGGAAGTGCTAAACTGCCACCGGGGGTAAATTGTGGGTTCAGTGTTTCATCCAAGGGCTACAAATGAACAACCTCAGACAATCTTGGGATTATTCATCAACCCACCAGGACAGTTGTCATTTCCTCCTATGTGAACTTTGGCTGCTGCTGCTTTCAGGTTTGTTCCCTGCTCTTTGCTTCCTCTTTGTTCTTACATGCCGGCCTCGTCTTGCTGTCTGTGATGTTCATGTTCTTTTGTACATTTTTAGATTTCACTAAATCAAGAGGATTTATTATCATTATACATTATTCCTGGCAGTGACTGAGCAGTATTTTAACACCATTGTTACATTTAATAATGATCCGTAAGTTGTAGCAGTTGTAAGCCTTTAGTATTTGTGAATTTGTTAACTGTGGCGCAGAGATGCAGCAAACACGTTGCTGACTTTAACAAGTCCGATTAGGTGATATTCCTGTCCACCAGAGGGCAGTATCGCTCCTCTTCTGGTTGGCGGTTCACTTTCTCCTCTTTGTTGAGTCAGACGTGTCGGTATGACTGACTTCTAATGTAAATATGTATGCAGGGTCTCTGCTTGTATTTTTCTACAAATATGATATCCTCATAGTATAGAATGACGAAAGAAATGAGCAAAAATGACCCAGTCATTGTATAATCATACACATCTTTACATCACACTGTCATATTTGCTCATTTTCATCGTCATGTTATCCTGTGTCATTCTTAAGACCATACTGTTATTTTTGCTCATTTTCAATTATGTATACTCAGTATACATATGAGTATACTGAGTATATATGCTCAGTATGCTCATGATCAAATTGATCAAAAAAGTCTCATAGTTATGTCGTTTTTGCTGATTTTCAATGTCAGTGTAACGTCATTTTTTTGTCATTTATTTTAGTATGTAAAAGAATTAGCAAAAATTACTGAAAACTTTTTATTAATTTTAGAGTCAAAAATTCAAATTTCCTGGAGAAGTAAAAAAAAGAAGACTGGTATAG